GGTTGAATGTATTAATTTTTTGTCAATATTACCTTAACAACAACTTACCTATGACATATAATAGTGGCATTTTTCCTAGCCGAATACCTGAACCACAAACAGACATAATACATTGAATATTGCTCACTGTAAAACATCGTCGCTCAAACATTACCGCCATCTGTTGAGTATACTGTGGTGGGCACTGCACTAAACAGATGGAGGTAGTGTGAAAACGTCAAACGCAAGGGAATTAACCACTTCATTCGAGCAGTTAAAATGACGTTTACTACCACTCGAACTTTGAAATAAAACATTATTTTGAGATTTTTTCTTCTAGAACCACGAGAAAAGTAGCCAACATTTGTGCATTTCATGAAAAAAATAGAATTTAGTTGGTACAGTTTTGTGAAATCACTGGTAGAAAGTCACGCCAAAACTGCTTGACAAAGTGGTCAATTGACTGCGCACCACAGGCCTATTTCACATGTTGCTATAGATTTGTAGCCGTTCCAAATAAGTTCCCATTCGCACACTACTAGCACTACATCTTTTGGCTTCTTTTGACACTTTTTTCTATGCGCACGAATATTGATGGTCCGGAAGTGAGGATAATAAAAACAAGCCAACATTTTTGGCTGAAGCGAAAGTAAGGATAACAAACTTGGCACTTGAAAATGGGATTACGCAAGTGTGCGAGTTATAAACGTCAGAAAGGTCAATACTCATGCACATCACAGTGCAGCGCATACTGACGCACCCTTGTCTGCTCTTCTGCGCGAAGAGGTAAACTAGCCTTCGGCTAAAAATCTCTATAATAAAGATTAAAAAAAAAATCTTCTGCGCGTATTTTCGGATCATCTTTTATGTTCGCTTTTTTTCAATGCATCCTGACTCCGCACCAGCAGTGCAGCGTAAACTCATGCACCCTTGCCAAATGCTCAGCGATTTTTCGCATGGCATTTGGTTTATTAAAATGCAATAGAGATCTCCAAGCGCAATCTCACGAACACTTAATCCAACATCCATATATAAATATGAAGAAGAAGAGAACCAACAAGTTATCGCGATATCACAAATACTTAAAAAGGTAGCGCGCGTTGTCTCACGCACACTTTTGTGCCTCTGGAGAACTCTATAAATTAAAGGTCACTGACACTACCATCCGATTCACGACCCGAAAAATAACACACCGAAACTCCTCGACAATTAACCATTTTATTCGAGCACTTAAAATGACGTTTACTACCACTCAAACTTTGAAATAAAACATTATTTTGAGATTTTTTATTCTAGAACCTCGAGAAAAATAGCCAACATTTGTGCGTTTCATAAAAAAATAGAAATTATTTGGTCCAGTTTTGTGAAATCGCTTGTAGAAAGTCACGCCAAAACTGCTTGACAAAGTGGTCAATTCAAAAGCTGGTAATATCGTTGCTTCGATGCCTGCACTCTTCTGCTGGAGGGGAAAAATACCACTCACAGTATGAAGTCTCACTCAGCTTTCTTCACTTCCGCTGGAATTTTACAACGACTTTAACTCCACCACCGCTAGATTTCTTTCGGTAATCTTCGTTCTGCCACTTGCAATGCGCCAAAAGATCCAGATTCCACACTTTTCACTCCTTTCCACTCCAAATACTCCAATATACCGGCGAAAAACGACCATTTCACCACTGGAAAAAGCACTGCACTGCGTAGCTAAAAAATACACGTCCAGCTCGCTGAACGCTCTCTACTCTTGTTGTTAACATACATGTTTGGGCCGTAAGAACGAAATTATAAAAATGACGAGCTTTCAGGGAAAATGAACAAAAACTCAACACAAATAAAAATGGATCAAGTTTACGATCATACGATCATTGCATTGGAAAAAATATTGCCGAAACTTAAATTAAAAATTAAATTAATACCTGCAAACTTGCTCGGTTTTTATCCATTTCCCGAGTAGATGAGAATAGCAAACCAAGAACTAACAAATAGGAAATTTTACTATCATAGCTTATCTTGATATTATTATGTTATTTACCCATAACACATAATAACAAGGACGGGAGGCAATGTATAGACCGGCAATCGGGCCAAACAGCCTGCATGCCGTATCGAACGACAACGGCCAACGATGCGTGAACTTTGCAGCCTCCCGGGGTATGGTAGTTCGAAGTACCTTTTTCCCCCGCAAGGATATCCACAAAGCCACCTGGAGATCACCTGACCAACACACAGAAAACCAAATCGATCACGTTCTAATCGACGGGAAATTCTTCTCCGACATTATCAACGTCCGCACGTACCGCAGTGCGAACATAGATTCGGACCACTACCTAGTTGCAGTATGCATGCGCTCAAAACTCTCGACGGTGCATAACACACGTCGAAGTCGAACGCCACGACCCAACATTGAGCAACTACGGGACACCGGAGTTGCCCAGGACTACGCGCAGCAGCTGGAAGTTGCACTACCCACGGAAGAGCAGCTTGGCGCAGCTTCTCTTGAAGATGGCTGGAGGGACATCCGTTCAGCCATAGGTAGTACTGCTGTAGCGGCACTAGGTACTGCAATCCCGGACCGAAGAAATGACTGGTTTGACGGCGAATGCAAACTGTTAGTAGAGGAGAAGAATGCAGCACGGGCGAGAATGCTGCAACACCACCCGAGATAGAATGTGGAGCGATACAGACAAGCGCGGAACAGACAAAACTCGGTTTTCCGAAGGAAGAAGGAAGATCGAGATCGCGAGGCGATGGAAAATCTGTAAGGAGGATCCTGGTAGGGCCTCCAAATTCCGACTTATGCGCCAGACGACGAGAGTCGTCTGCCAGAACTCAAGGTTGGATTGCCCAGCTAGCTCCTTTTCAACCCCACAACGGAATCCACCTCCTATAATGTCCCAAAACCTTCCAAAGCTTCCTTCCCAATTTCCAATCCCAAGAGTTCCTTAAATTCGAATTATAGTAGGTATTCCGATTCAATAAATTGAAACTAAATTTAAAGTTTTGATTGAAAAATAATAGAAAACGATTTATTTCTCATGCAATAAAATGGTTTAATTGAAACGCTTAAATTTTGATTTCCAAAGTCTATAAAAGTTGGATTTATGTTTGCATGGTGATTTCCTTAAAACCTTCCCTTTTCCTACTTTCTCCTAACGGGTGACGTCATTCAGTAAGTGTGTTCCCTGAACGTGAGTCAACCTACTTGCAATAGATTCCCCCCCCCCATTTCTTCCCCTACTAATATAATAGTTTGCCCTACACCTGGTGGTGGGGTGTGTTCGGGTGGGTACTAAAAAGCGGTTCAGGTACTTACAGGACTCGTCGTTGATCGGAGGTTACCTGGTCGGCCAACGGCTGGTTGACCGAGAACGACTCATAGGCCCATGCGGTTCGCACGGAGCGGGACTTCGGTGCTCTCTAGCACCAGGAAAGTGATTCGCGGCTTCTTCAGGCTACGTCGGAGATGTGCACTTGATTGCTGGGCTCTGATCGGGACTGGTCAATACCTTCTACCCGGGACGTGAGTCTGGGCGATTCTCTCTGGCGGTGGCAAGCTTTCCCCGTACAGATTACTCGCGGATTGTGGCAACCACGTTGTAGCGGAGTGGTGCTCGCGAAGCCGAACTTCCTTCACCGATGACCACGCTCTCTGCAACTATTCTTAGCGGCACGCAGCCGCGAGGCGAAGAATAGTCCCAGGGGATCGCCCCCAGTCTCACCGATAGCACGCGGATAGCTTTTTGGATGCTGTTGAAGCCGTAGCTAGGAGAAACTTCCAACCCGCACAATCTCCACGAAACGCACTCGCCAAAACCCCAATGGTGCACGTGTTCACGTGTGGTGACTCACGTTTTTTTTTAACTGCAATGTCTGATTTCTTATCAGTTCTTTTATTTGGACTCACGTTTTCTTCCTTTACAGGATTTTCAAGTTATTCACGACCCACGATTTTTTTCTTAATTTATCAATTTACTTTAAATAAACTTTTTCAATTGATTAACTATCACTCTGAATTTAGCTTCGATATTCACTTGTAAAAATGTAGACTTTACTGTTCGGCGGTCTGAACGGGAAAAGATCGAGCGGGTGCTCTTTCTTGATCCAGAAGCCTCAATTTTCCTATTTTCCGTTTTTATTCCGGTTCTGATTTCTTGATTCTAAAATTATATATTCTAAATTTTCTTCGCGATTTGATCGGTAAGTTGACCTTTTGATCACTGACGTGTAAACCCCACCCACTTAACACCCATCATTACTGATTCGAGCACATTGGTTGCCTACCACGAAGGCGCAAATTTAAATCACAAATAGGGTTCTTTATGAAACGACGGTGAGCCCGTTTCATCATCCCCCACTTATCCCAAAAAAAAAATTGTGAAACAATTTTTTTTTTTAAATCATCTTCTCAACTACATGCACATTTTGTATTTCTTCGAGAAATTTACAATAACGAACCCGATACTGGTGCGACATTTCATTTATGCTTATTAAGTACCTAATTTCTTCCATTTATCATCTCTTTAGACACTTCCGCTACTACTAAACTTCCGAAATTGCAATCGATTCGACATTTCGCTCATGCTACGTAAACACAAGGCTAACATGCTACGTAAACAAACAGCTAACTTCCCTGAAACCGATACTTTAAACCGTGTTATTGAACCGCGCCCGAGAAAACCTGCTTTCAGGATCATCTATCCGACACTAACTGATCTCACAGTTTTCGACACCAATAAATTTACTGGAAGAACTCTCATTATCTACTTATTTACTCCAATACATCTATTGGAAAACACGACACGATACTGATTGCACATATTCTGGTCAACTCAAAAACGAAACCTATTCTTGCGTATTCGTATTGGTCTAAGAAAAATGTACCTACGTGTACCCAAAAGTACTCCATATAACGATATGGACACGAATAAAACTCTCCAAACACTGAATATCTCCCTACTCTTTCGTGCAATTTCCTCGGGTAATTGCTATTGGTAATGAGTGCCTGGGCTATTGGATCTCACTAATGTATGATCGTTAACAGTCGGATTCAACGCGTGATTGCGAGTAGTTCGTCTCGCTGTCTATTGTGTGTTTGGTAAAAGGTGAAAAACCGGACTATTGCTGCCATTGTATGATGTATGATGCACCCTGGGATGATGATCATTGCTACTAGTTTACCAAAAACGTAAGTATCAAGTTTCAGTACTAATTTATATTGATTATACTAATATTTCTTTTGTCCTACCGTATTCCTATCTAAGTCTCCACGTTTTTCCTATTCTACTTATTTGACCTTGAACCTATTCAAATCATCTCTACCTATTATATTTATGTGTTAGTTTGAACACACTTTTCAGGTTCGACAAGACCTATAGAAAACTGAGCCAACTTAAATTTCCATTGTTCTACCAAACAGATGGTGTCTTTTTTTACAAAAGATGCCAAGTTTTATTAGACAAAATTGAAAACATTATTATTTAATTATCTACATATTTACATATTTACATATTTACAATATTTTTTTTTATTTTAGCACGAAATCGATGATGACAAATTTGTACCAGATGGCATGATTTGGTCACTCTATGTATGCTAATTTCGTGGTTTTTTGGTAAGTAGTCCTGTTTTTAATTTTCAGGTTCTTGAATGCTGACTGTTTTGAGTTAAACCATCCTACCATTTTCGATGTTTTCCGATCATACGTGTTTTCTTTGCCTGCTGATTTTCAAGGGTTCTTAGTCTGTTTTCATAGCTGATTCATTGACTTCCTTTTAAAACGTTCCGCCATTGCGTATTTTTTTTGTGATGCTTTATGCGGCCATCATTGTTTTTATACATAGCTGTGTGTCTTTTTTTTTTTTATTTATTTGACCATTTGATTATTCCGTATTTCCTTCTTTGTTTTGTATACCTGCCTTCGCAATTTTTTTTAGAGTTTTTTAAGCTGAGAGACATGGTATAAACCTAATGATTTTCCATTCATGTCTTGTAAGACGTAACAGACATCTCCTACTTTCCTTTTGATGATTGCTTCTGAGAATTTCGGGGCTAATTTGGCATTGAATGCTTTTGACTTATCCGAGAGAAAGTGATTCTTCTTTAGGACTTTTTGTCCTTCTTGGAACTCGATCAAATGACCTGACCTTAAATTATAATATTTAGAGTATTTGTCATAGGCTATTTTTAAATTTTTTCTAACTTCTTCATAAATTTTATCCATGTTTTTGGCGTGTTCTTCTTCTACAGGAGTCCTGTCGCTATTCGTATCGCGCAAATGCTGATATTCTTCGCCAGAGCTTATTTGATTTCTTCCGAAATTTATAAAATAGGGTGAAAACCCACTTGACGCATGTGTTGCGTTATTGATAGCATTGGCAATTTTGTAGATATTTTCATCCCAGTGGGTTTGTTCTTTCTTTATCAAAGCTCTTATAGCTGATGTTATTACTCTATTTGTCCGCTCTGCATTATTTACCTGGGGAAAATAAACTGGAGTAAGCCATTGACTGACGCTGTACTTTTCAAGAAGGCCTTTAAACTCTTTAGATATAAATTGTGCACCATTATCAGAAATTATTAACTCAGGCACTCCAAATAGCAAAAATACCATGTTTTCAATGAAAAATACTAATTGTTTCGATTTTGCTTCTTTTAAAGGTTGTATAATAACAAATTTTGTAAAAATATCTGTTAAAACTAGCAAACAGGTGTTTCCTGTCTTTTTGGCCCTTGGAAATGGACCAACATAAATAATTGCAATTATTTGCCATGGTTGAGTTGCAAGTTTTTGTTTTCCCATTGGGGGTACATGATTTTTGTTATCTGATTTGGAAGTTTTACATGTTATGCAACCATTACAATATTTCTTTATTTCTGTGTACATTAGTGGCCAAACAAACTTTTCTTTAATTTTTTCCAAAGTTTTTTCAAAACCTAGATGTGCTTCATCGTGAATGCTTTTTATTAATTTTATTCTTTCCTCTATTTTTGGAACAATTTTCCATGCAAATCTTCTATCGGTAATTTTTGATTCGTTCTGAACATATTTGTATATTTGATTGTCCACTACTTTAAAATCTTTGAAATCATTTGGATTTTTAGCTATTTTTTCAATCAAGGTTTTGTAATCCAAGTCCTCCCATTTCACAGAAATGGTGTTGAGTGACCTTGATAAACAATCTGCAGTTATGTTGTCACGGCCTTTTCGGTATTCAATGCTGAAATCGTATTGTTGAAGTTTTAACGCCCATCTGCACAATTTTGCTGATCCTTTATCCGCGCTTACTTTAGAAAGCCACACTAAGCTGCGAGCATCCGTAATTACTCGGAAATGTGTCCCTTCTACATAATTTCTGAAGGACTCTATGGCCCATAACACTGCGAGACATTCTTTCTCGACAGCAGCATACTGTCGCCTGGTGGAGTTCAGTTTTTTACTGAAATATGCTATGATGCGTTTTTCTCCTTGCAGAACTTGTGTTAAAACTGCACCCACTGCAAGATCTGATGCATCGGATTCAATTGTGAATATTTCATTAAAATCGGGGTTTGCCAGTATTGGTGGGTTTATGAGAGCTTCTTTTAGTTTTTCTAGTGCCCTTTCTGCATCATTAGTCCATAAAAACTTCTTGTTATCCTTTTTTAGCAAATCCGAAATTGGTGCCGTAATATCGCTATAGTTTTTTATAAATTTTTGATAAAAATTCGCTAGACCTAAAAGACGTCTGATATCTTTTACCGTCTTAGGAGCTTGGTAATCCAAAATCGGCCTAATTTTCTCCATATCAATGGAAATTCCTTGTTCTGACACTATGTAGCCTAAATATCGCACACTTTCGCGGCAAAATTTTGATTTGCTGAGACTTATAGTTAGATTCGCCTGCTTTAATCGGTTCGCTACTTCTTCTATTAACTGAAAATGATGACTTAAGGTCTTGGTTGCGATGATTATATCATCTAAATACACCCATACAAATGGTTGCAAATCACAGCCTAACACTAGATCCATGAGTTTAGACATTGTGAATTTCTTGGAGTAGCTTCCTATCCTTATTTGGATCACCAAAACGGATCTTAAGATGTTTCGCAAAATTATCCCAGCTTTTGTATTTTTTCTTATAGGTGAAATACCAACGTCGTGCTTCGCCGGAGAAGAGGATATAGGCCTGATCCAAAAACCTGTCGTTTGGAATTCGTTCCGAAGCGATCAGTTCGTTGACCTGGAACACGAAGTCGGAGACATCCATTCCATGAGAGTCTCCACTAAACTGAATACCCCATCTATCTAAGCGATAATGTTGGAATCGGTCATCTCGACGACTGTGAACTGTGGAAATTGAGCTGCTCTGGGACTCGGAATCGGAACTTGTCTCCGATGAGAGTAAGCTGCTCAACGAATCTAAGGATGAGCTTTCGTCATCTGATAATGATTCTGCTGGTAAGTCCTTATGTTTGCTACTTTTTGAATGCTTCTTATTCTTATGTTGCCTTTTTTCTGGATTTCGCTCTTTGCTCTTCTTTAAGGTCTCCTTTTTAGTTTTCGGAATTGCTCCTAACTTTCGATCTTCTTTATTTTGCGATTCTTGTTCCTTTTTTCTCTCTTCTTTATTTGACTCTGTACTTATTTGCAGTTTTTCAATATTAGGTAAATTTTTGAAATAATTACCAATTGTTTTGCTGATTGCCTCGCTAATAAGATCCTTATTAAGTGACTTCTTAACTTCCGTTTCAACACTTTTTATCAAACTACTATGGAAGAGTATTTCATCCTCAAATTTTTTCTTCTCCTTCTGCTTTTTATCATTAATGTAATCTGTTTTAATTATCGACTCATTTGGATCCCCCAGTCCACTTTCTTCGGGATCACTTAAGTTCATTAGTCTTCTAGCCGTTTCCCTGTAAATTTTCATCAATTTGTGAATTTTTGACAATATTTCCACCTTTTGTTCCTCTTGGGCCAAGTCTACTGCTCTGGACCGATAAACTCTCTCTCGCCAATGTCGTAACTGTGAAATCCACCTAACATGCATATCCCCTTTTAAGCCTTCTTCAATTTCCTCAAGCTTTCTAATTGCAAGAGGATATTCCATTTTAAAATAAAGATCTGCCGTTAGTACTACGGGGTGATCTCCTTTATACTTGAAGCAATTTCTCAGTCTCTCGCGTTTATGTGCTTCTGACTCTGTACGAAGCCTATTCCTAATTTTGAGTTCATATTCTAATTCTTCTTCACTTAGATCAAAAGCATTCATTACACTATTATTTTGCGCCTGAGCCATTTTCTAATATATTTTTTCTCTCTTTTTCAGGTAATTTGTATCGCAGATTTGGAAAATCAAATGAATCAAATGAGTAATTTATATAATGTCTATTAAAAAAACGATATAAAAATTCACTATTCAACTGTTATTCTAACTTAACTTAAAGGATTATATGAAAAATTTATAGAGAAAAAACAATTATTCTAGCCGTAAATAACCGAACAAAAAAAATCCCGAATCAATAATCAAAAGTGCTCGAATCAGTAATTCTAAACTTAAATCTACAAATTCTTACTCAAATTCAAAAAAAAAAAAATAATATCAAAAGGTCAATTTCAAATGATCAAATATTAAAATTTCTAATTCCAGTGGGACGAGCCTTTTAGAAAGTTGGGCGCCAATGTAAGGAGGATCCTGGTAGGGCCTCCAAATTCCGACTTATGCGCCAGACGACGAGAGTCGTCTGCCAGAACTCAAGGTTGGATTGCCCAGCTAGCTCCTTTTCAACCCCACAACGGAATCCACCTCCTATAATGTCCCAAAACCTTCCAAAGCTTCCTTCCCAATTTCCAATCCCAAGAGTTCCTTAAATTCGAATTATAGTAGGTATTCCGATTCAATAAATTGAAACTAAATTTAAAGTTTTGATTGAAAAATAATAGAAAACGATTTATTTCTCATGCAATAAAATGGTTTAATTGAAACGCTTAAATTTTGATTTCCAAAGTCTATAAAAGTTGGATTTATGTTTGCATGGTGATTTCCTTAAAACCTTCCCTTTTCCTACTTTCTCCTAACGGGTGACGTCATTCAGTAAGTGTGTTCCCTGAACGTGAGTCAACCTACTTGCAATAGATTCCCCCCCCCCCATTTCTTCCCCTACTAATATAATAGTTTGCCCTACTAATGCTGGTGGTGGGGTGTGTTCGGGTGGGTACTAAAAAGCGGTTCAGGTACTTACAGGACTCGTCGTTGATCGGAGGTTACCTGGTCGGCCAACGGCTGGTTGACCGAGAACGACTCATAGGCCCATGCGGTTCGCACGGAGCGGGACTTCGGTGCTCTCTAGCACCAGGAAAGTGATTCGCGGCTTCTTCAGGCTACGTCGGAGATGTGCACTTGATTGCTGGGCTCTGATCGGGACTGGTCAATACCTTCTACCCGGGACGTGAGTCTGGGCGATTCTCTCTGGCGGTGGCAAGCTTTCCCCGTACAGATTACTCGCGGATTGTGGCAACCACGTTGTAGCGGAGTGGTGCTCGCGAGGCCGAACTTCCTTCACCGATGACCACGCTCTCTGCAACTATTCTTAGCGGCACGCAGCCGCGAGGCGAAGAATAGTCCCAGGGGATCGCCCCCAGTCTCACCGATAGCACGCGGATAGCTTTTTGGATGCTGTTGAAGCCGTAGCTAGGAGAAACTTCCAACCCGCACAATCTCCACGAAACGCACTCGCCAAAACCCCAATGGTGCACGTGTTCACGTGTGGTGACTCACGTTTTTTTTTAACTGCAATGTCTGATTTCTTATCAGTTCTTTTATTTGGACTCACGTTTTCTTCCTTTACAGGATTTTCAAGTTATTCACGACCCACGATTTTTTTCTTAATTTATCAATTTACTTTAAATAAACTTTTTCAATTGATTAACTATCACTCTGAATTTAGCTTCGATATTCACTTGTAAAAATGTAGACTTTACTGTTCGGCGGTCTGAACGGGAAAAGATCGAGCGGGTGCTCTTTCTTGATCCAGAAGCCTCAATTTTCCTATTTTCCGTTTTTATTCCGGTTCTGATTTCTTGATTCTAAAATTATATATTCTAAATTTTCTTCGCGATTTGATCGGTAAGTTGACCTTTTGATCACTGACGTGTAAACCCCACCCACTTAACACCCATCATTACTGATTCGAGCACATTGGTTGCCTACCACGAAGGCGCAAATTTAAATCACAAATAGGGTTCTTTATGAAACGACGGTGAGCCCGTTTCAAATCTGTACCGCGTAAACGACACACGGAAGTTCTACGAGAAGCTAAATAGTTCGCGCAAAGGCTACGTGCCGCAAGCCGATATGTGCAAGGACTTGGACGGTAACCTTCTCACGAACGAGTGTGAGGTGATTGAGAGGTGGAAGCAGTACTATGACGAGCACCTCAACGGTGAGGCAGCAGAAAACGAAGGTGGCACGGCAACAGACCTTGGAGCACGCGCAGAAGACGATAGGCTACCGGTCCCTGATCTTCAAGAAGTTGAGGAGGAGATCGGTCGGCTGAAGAACAACAAAGCAACTGGTGTAGATCAACTACCAAGTGAGCTATTGATATACGGTGGTGAAGCACTGGCTAGAGCGCTGCACTGGGTAATTGCCAAGATTTGGGAGGAGGAGATATTACCGGAGGAGTGGATGGAAGGTGTCGTATGCCCAATCTACAAAAAGGGCGACAAGTTGGATTGCTGCAACTACCGCGCGATCACACTGCTGAGCGCCGCCTACAAGGTACTCTCCCAAATTCTATGCCGCCGTCTGTCACCATATGCAAGAGAGTTCGTGGGGCAATACCAGGCGGGATTCATGGGTGCCCGCGCTACCACGGACCAAATTTTCGCGATTCGGCAGGTTCTGCAGAAATGCCGCGAATACAACGTGCCCACACATCATTTGTTCATCGATTTCAAATCCGCATACGACACAATCGATCGAGATCAGCTATGGCAGATTATGCACGAGTACGGATTTCCGGATAAACTGACGCGATTGGTCAAGGCGACGATGGATCGAGTGACGTGCGTTGTTCGAGTATCGGGGACACTCTCGAGTCCCTTTGAATCTCGAAGGGGGTTACGGCAGGGTGATGGACTTTCGTGTCTGCTGTTCAACATCGCGTTAGAAGGTGTGATCAGAAGAGCTGGGATAGACACGAGTGGCACGATATTCAGGAAGTCCATCCAGCTCCTTGGTTTCGCCGATGACATTGACATTATGGCACGGAACTTTGAGATGATGGCGGAAACGTACATCAGACTGAAGGCTGAAGCTAGACGGATTGGACTTGCCATCAACGCATCAAAGACAAAATATATGAAAGCAAGAGGTTCTAGGGAAGACAATGTTAGCCTCCCACCTCGAGTTCAGATTGACGGTGACGAAATCGAGGTGGTCGATGAGTTCGTGTATTTGGGCTCACTGGTGACCGCCGAAAATGATACCAGCAGAGAAATTCAAAGACGCATTATGGCAGGGAATCGTGCCTACTTTGGACTCCGGAGGACGCTCCGGTCGAATAAAATTCGCCGCCGCACGAAGTTGACTGTCTACAAGACGCTGATTAGACCGGTGGTCCTTTACGGCCACGAGACCTGGACTATGCTCGTGGAGGACCAACGCGCCCTTGGTGTTTTCGAACGGAAGGTGTTGCGTACCATCTACGGTGGAGTGCAGATGGATGACGGAACGTGGAGGAGGCGAATGAACCACGATTTGCACCAGCTGCTGGGAGAACCATCCATCGTCCACATTGCAAAAATTGGGCGACTACGGTGGGCTGGGCACGTCGTAAGAATGCCGCACGACGACCCAGTGAAAATGGTTCTAGAAAGCGACCCAACAGGAACAAGAAGAAGAGGCGCGCAGCGGGCAAGGTGGATCGACCAAGTAGAAGGTGACCTGCGGACCCTTCGCAGACTACGAGGCTGGCGAACTGTGGCCATGGATCGAGTAGAGTGGAGACGACTTCTTCGGACAGCAGAGGACAACAAGGCCTTAGCCTGATTGGTAAGGTAAGTAAGACATAATAACAATAATTATTTTCATGATATTAAAACTTTGAGTCAGACAACCTAATGTTCCAGTTAGGGATATTTTGGCTAGACGCGATCTGGAGTTTATGAAACTCATATATGTTTACTTTAAGAATAGTAACCTTAGATTGTAAGTTTGATTAATCTTGTGTTTAGTTTATATTTTGTACGTGTGTTTTTTTTTATTTTTTCAATGTTTGTTTTCAAGATGAATAGAAATAATTTCATGTTTTAGAAAATCGTAATAAATATTTTTATCGTAAACCACATTTCAAACCTGCTTCTCCCTTTTCCCATCCAAAAAATTGTAAATCTCCACTAACCTCGAGATAACCGCGAGTACTCGGTCCAGTTC